GTCTCGATTGCTCGGCGAGGGGAAAGAAGAAGTGTGAGAGTGGAAGGAGAACGAGCTGATGGGAGAGAAAGAGAACGCGCGAATTCGTCCTTAAGTAATCGTCGGCCCTTCCGAAGGTATTCGCCGAGGACGGGACGAGACGACGAGGTAAGGTGCGAACGATGGCGGAGAACCGAGGCATGCCGGGGACTCGATTAAATGATTAAACGAGCCCCGAGGCGCCATATTAAACTCGCCGTTATTCTCGCCGTTCCTCTCTCCTAGGGAGTCATCTCGCCCTCGAAGGCGACAGTCCGCCTCTCCCCTGGCGCGACTTCCTCTCTCTCTCTATCTCTCTCTCCGCCATTTTTCTCTTCGCTCCTCCCGTCTTTCTTGCGCCTCCTAACAATGTCATTGTCCATTGTCACGGCACAATCAAAGAAGAACAAAAACAGATTTCGATTATGCCGATTGCGAGGAATTCTGATGAACCGATTTTCTTTCCCCTGGCCGGAAAAGAAACGGAAAGAAGTAGGGGCGTGGACGTCTCTCATAAATCTCCGGGAAGCGCTCTATGTCGCACCGTCTGCGCGAAGGTACGTCCCGAAGGAAATACTTCCGATTCCTGAGATACGTCATTCGTGTGGTTTTAAGCGGCGAAAGTAATATGAATACGGTGAATGAATGCAACGAGAGAAACGAAAACGCCGCCGCGTAGTTTCGACGACGGAAAAGCGGAGATTTACTCTCGACGGGTTCTTATATCCGAAAGAACACCTTCGCCCGAAATAGCCTGAAAGAAACGAGCCCACAGATTTTTCGGAATAATTACGCGAGAGCGGCGCGATGGAGATGTAACGGTGCGCAACAACTAGCGGCAAAATGCATGCGATGTATTTTCAGTCGGGGCTCGATTAGATCATTTAGATCGTTTTAACGCCAACAGAAGAAGCGGATCGGCTTTTTGCGGGGGTTCGGATATAGCCGTTGAAGCGCCGCGGCCGGGCCGCATTTGCATATAAACGAGAACTTCGCCCGGCATGGTAACGCTGAAACGCGCCATTTTTATTATTATACCAATTAGGTCGTCGCACGTTGCGCGTACTACAAATTTCCACCGGTTATTTTTTCTCCCTCTCTCCCCGATCCCCCCTCCCCCCGGAACGACACGGTGGCGAATCGTTCCGCACGGCCGCTCACCGTCTTTGTTTGCGAGATCACCTGCAGGAGATCACCTTCGTGATCTCGCGTCGAATTTCGAACACGCCTACCCATTTCTTCTCCACAACCGCTGGCCATCGATTCAGGCTTTTCGCAGGCGGCCACGCGATTAAATGGTCGACGCAACATTTTTTTTTTTCCACCATCGAGCGAGTCGTCTCTCATACAGCGGGATTGAAAGACGCCCTCTCCGTCTCGTCTCCCTTCCTCCCGTTCCTCTCTCTCTCTCTCTCTCTCCATCGCGCCCTCGTTCGACACGCGGTTATCCGTATTTTATGGAATGGCTCTCTTCGACGGCCCTCGCGTTTCCCCTCGCTTTCATAAATCATTTACGTCGCGAAGGCAACTCGCCTGACGTTCGATTGCAATTTTCGCGTTCCGCCTGTTAAGAGAGTCGATTCGCCTTTTCGTTAGAGGCGACGGTGAGTGATTAACCAGGCGGATAATACAGACTCGTTACTTAACGTTGTTACACGTACGTCAACGTGACGTCACCGTTGGAATACATTGCCTACGATGGATCTCGAAGAGGAGGGGATTAGGGAGGGGGAGGGAAGGGGGAGGACCTCCTCGATCGGGCGATGCTTCGTTGCAGGTGCACCACTCGCTGCTCGCGCGGCCGAGCGTTTTACGAGCGCCGAGGCTCTCGAGGTTTTTCCGATTGCTGTTTGAAACGTTTCCAGTTTTCAATATCAAATCGATCCTGGCCGACGTAATTGCCAATCTCCGTCGCAGTTAGCGGAAGACGGGACGCGTCCTGCTCCGGGAGGCTCGTCGATACCGGAACGCCGATCGAAGATGCGCCGCGCCGTGCCACCGACATTCAACAGCGCCCGGGCCCTTCCGGCTCGGTGACGTTTGACAGCTCGTTAGCTCGTTTCCCCGACGAGGGAAATCGCGGTCAGGACTGTTCATTGTTCCCGTCAGACCCCGGCGAGCGTGCGATTTTCCGCGCGCACATTTCGAGGGCCGGCTCTTCTCTCTTTTTTCGCCTCTCCGCCTCCCTTCCACCCCCTTCGTCGTTCCGCTTCTCTCTCGTCCTCTCGCTACCATCATCATCTGGCAGTATAAAAACGAGTCTCTCCTCTCTCCCCCCCCCCCCCCCCCNCCCCCCTCTCTCTGTCTCTCTTTCTTTTGTAACCGAACTGCCTGGCGGATCGCCAGGATTAATTATGGTACCCGGATGGCCTGTTCGTGAACCATCGTGCTCCGCTCCTGGGCTTTCAATTTGCATCCGCGCATATCGACGCTCTCGAGAATTCTTCTTCGGGTTCTTAGGCTCGTGGGACCGCGGGCACGAGTGGTGCGCGAACTTTTGCCGGAATTTATCACACAGGAAGATGCAACCGTGGAAAATGTGTCGTGCAAGTTCGATCGAATTCCCCAATCATTAGTTGAAATTAACCCAGAACTGGGCGTTGTTATCGAAAAAGTAATCGAAATCGCAATCAACGGTTATTTCTAACCATTCGCGAAATTTGTTCAAATAATAAATAACTGTAAGATTCAATTTGACCGAATGTGAAAAATAAAAGTCGGGAAAACAGGCGCAAAAGTAGCGCTTATTTTTCTTAGAAAACTCGATATTTTTAAACCTTCAGGCCCTTGTCTACAATCTTGCTTTAAGATCTAAGCCGCAAACGAATCAGTCAACCACGGTCGATTATTCCTCTAATAAACAATTGTAATTGGCCGATTTGCCGACTGCTTACATCTTAAAGCAAGGTTGCGAACAAAGGATAAATCTCGCGCATACCCCGCGAACCCGCAAACTCCTGAATTCACAAGTTTGCTCGCTACGTGTCATCGTGTTCATCTCATTATTTAGCACGCATCGCTATGTCGTTGCGAATAAAGATATGAGAGATTCCAAGGAGTACATAATTCCCTATTCTGGCTATTTTTATCGCGTGATACAGCGTGTCCCCACACATCTGCTCCACATAAAGTGCGCTAAGCGAGAAGTTACGGCGTTACATTCTCAAACATGCATTAAATCTACCGTCTACTTCGAGCTGCTCGTCGAATTATTTTTGCATGTCCCATCGCGATTCCTTTCAACCGTGTCGAGGCTTTACTCGTGAATATTAGCGCGATTCCGTCAGAATACCGAGATATCTGTACGGTGAGCCGCCGTTAAACGACCAACCGGTCTTCGCGCACCTGTTCAACACGAAATTGCGAGAAGAGATTCAATACGCCGAGTTACACGCAGTTACACGCATTGCAGTTAAGACCATGAGACCATGAGGGTACGCGATACGCTTATAGTTCCATCCATAATCGAATTCAATCTACGGATAAGGAAGAACGATTATGCGCATGTATAACGGAATCGACCATGTTTTATGCAGACGTGCGTTAATATTGAAGGCTATCTTGTTCCCTCCGGCCGCGAGTAAACGTTCGTTAATGAACTGCCCGTCCGCGTTTACGCGCTCGTTCGATTTTTTTCCTGATTCGCGACGCCCGATCGTTTTCTCTCTTTCGCGGAGGAAAAGCGATTCCGGCCAGAAGGAATCACGAAAGCGAGCCGGCGGTGAAGAGAGCATCGGTATTCCGTCCGAAAGAAACGGCAGGTGTCCTTCAGAGGCAGCTGCAATCACGACGACCACCATCTGCTGCGGTAATGCACGCCCGTTCGAAGTCTCGAAGCGAAGCGAGAAGCCTCTCCTTTTTCTCTCTCTCTCTCTCTCTCTCTCTCTCTCGCTCTCTCGACCCGAGAGAGCCCCGCCAATTAGGCCCAGCTGAAACACGTGCCCGCGCCGGTCCGGATGAACCGATTTCAACCGGAGGAGACGTGATTCTCCTTGAAAACCTCCGGCTGCCTCTCCCGCGTTTTCCTTTCTTTTTTTCTACCTCCGCTTCCTTCCAATTTTTTTTCTCCCTCTTCTTAGGGCTTGTTTCTCTCGTTTTTTTGCTATCCTCGCTCGGCTGCGCGCACGCCCGCCGCATCTTCGCATCATCTTTCAGCAACAACTTGTTGAGCAACAGTTGGCCGGCACGAGACAACGAGTACACGCCGGAACCGATTAAAGTAAGAACAAAAGGGAGTGAAGACCTGGTTCGCGAATAATCGCCGCGTGCACGTGAAAAGTGCGAGCTGCTGTTAGAAAGCTGGCGGTAAAAGTACGCCGCGCAGCGTCTCCTGTTGATTCAGATTTCCGGAGTGAGAGTTCTATATTTCGTAAGAATTCTATAATTTCGTATAATTATATATATATATATATATATANATAATATGTAAATGGTTTAATATATAAAAAGCTTTCCCAGAGCTATATATTTTCCAAAAATTCATATACTCTTCATATACAAAAGCACACGGTTTCAGTTTCGAAAGTTAAATAAGTGACTGGTTTCTCAAACAATTTGCTTGAAACTGGCGTTTGCAAGCAGATGTTCTTCCTCAAGTGACAATTTGATGAAATGACCGCAACCACAACACACACAAAGCTAGAAGCAAATTTTCTGGTAAAAGATACCACAGAGAGATCTCGCAGCAAACGCCACAAGCTTCTGTCCCAAGGTGGTCTACGTTGGTAACATAGGATACAAACAAGAAATATTCGAGTATATTCCTGATACGATATTTCACAAACACTAACATTCCAAGAATTGTAACATAATACTATCATAGAGACATATCAGATATAAATGTCCTCATTGAAAAATTCAGCGTTGTGTCAAAAACTGCATTACCATCATTTCAAGATATCGATAATATAAGCAAACATTTCAAATTAAATTTTAATATTCTCGATATCTTTTAAACAGGGAAAAGAAAAACAGCATCGAAATATTCTCAACAACACTTTAATATAAAAACTAAAAATACATGAATCATATTTCATTATTTTCCACCAATGAGACAGTTTATGTCAAATAATACATATATGTGGAGAATAATTATAACATATTACTGCAAAATTATAACCGATATTTTCAATGAAACAATGGTACCAAACCTACATAACCCATATCAATATACCACAGCAATTTAATACTAAATGAATACAAGGAAATTTGAAGGAACTTATTGAACGTTCTACAATAAACGTAAAAACGTAAAACTTTTTATAAGTTTTTCACTTGCTAAGTGATTAATAATAAAGAAAGTATTGATGGGGCGTGGCGTGGCGTGAAATGTAGTTATATGTAGTATACCAAACGAAATTGAAACACGAAAAACGGATAAACAGCGAATACACACGTGAAATATCATTAATAACGACCAGACCGGCCATCTCTGCCTTTGTCGTCTCTTCCCTTGCGACGATCCTTAGACCTGGACCTCCTATCTCGAGATCTAGATCTCCTCCTGCGATCGCGGCCTCGTGATTTCGATCTCGACCTGGATCGACCCTTGCTCTTCTTCCGGCTGTACAAGTACCGACGAAGCTCCCGGGAGATGGGCTTCAGATGCATGAAGTTACAAAATCCAGAACGGGTGCACTCGCTAAACACACGGGCATATCATACGCAGCTGGCATACATGTTTTCTCACACCTCTATATACCGTATTTTACAATTGCATAAGCTCACAATTACCCCATTTCGTATTGACGGCAGCAAGCCTCGCGAAAGTCCGTAACGGGCGAGAGTTCAGCGTAGACCGGCCTGCCGCCGAACCAACGATTATTCAACTCGTTGACAGCTCTTTCCGCATCCTCCTCCCTGCGAAACTTAATGTAAACGTTCCCAACCAGATGATCGCCGAGATTGTCGCACACGTTCATCTCTTCAATTTCACCGTATTTATCCTCGCATTCAATGAAAACGTCCTCGAAAAAATTATCGTAATGCTCTTGCATTTCCTCGTCCGTTACATTCGCGACCACTATTGTCAAACGGAAATACGTGCCAAACCGTGTGTTACGTTACTTATATACACATATACCACAATATACAACATTTTTACCAAAGTTTTATATAATGTACTTACAGTGAGATCCGTCTGCGCTTTTGGCAGAATTCTGAGGGTTTACATAGAGATTCTGCAGAAGACATGTCTGAAGAACACAGGGGGTTTACTTAAACGATATGCATCGTGTAGTAAACAAGTAACGTAGTTAACATTGTTCAGATCAATTTGAACAATAATTGCGATTTGTGCTCAAGTAGAGTGTACATATGCAAAATTAAAAATGCAGATACAGGTCACATTGTATAAAAGCAGTAGGAATATATTGCAATTATGTATCTAATTGTTGCTCATCAAAGGAGGATGAGAAATATAGACGAGAAATATAAACAATATAAATATTTCAAATCAATATGGCCACATTCGAGATAATTATGTTTACATAAAGATAAGATATGTATCTTTTGCAAGTATACTTTCAAAATAATGAATATTGCAATGCGCAAATTTAAGATATCAAGATACAATAAAACATGCATGCATCATCACATACCTGGCTGAAAGTTGGCTTGTTGTGGATACGTGAACATCGATCTCCATGTCGACAGGCTCCTATTTTGAAGTAAAACGAGCAATTTACTCTGCGAAAGAGACAACAGAAACGACATCAGTTTATATTACGATGATAACATAACCTTACAAACGCATTCGCGGAAATCGGTACTTACTTATCCTTTTCAGTTCCAAAAATTGATGCTAGATACTCTGCCATTGTGAGAAAGTCGCTCGAATGGATCTCACAAGCGAAAAAGCAAACTCTTTCTACGTTTAACGTAAGACTCAACGAAGCATTGCCGGACACGAAACGTACGTTAGGGAAAACCACAAGAGAACTACTATACCGATTCGACAATTCAACGACAAATTGAGCTACCGTTTCAAAATCATTTGCTCTAGGTAAAGGTTTACGCTTATCATCTTTAGATGGCGCTAGTGCCATACCGCGGCCACTTTTGCCCCTATATATGACGAAAGAAACGATATACTATATAAACTAATATGAATAAAACATTTGTTGCTCCATTCGAATATAAAGTTCAATTCTTGATTCCACGTGAAGGATTAAACTTTACGTGAAGGATTAAATTTTAACTTTCCACGTTAAGGATATTAGATTAGTTAATTAGATAAAGTTAACAGAAATCTTGCTTATAAATTAATATCATTAGATCAAAGAGAAACTGTCACATTTCAGAATAATTAGAATCGAAGAGCCATACCTTCTTACAGGATCGAAACTAGGTTAAAGAAGTAATTCTTATGCACCTCTTCGTCACTTTACACAATATCAACCCAAGTAACAGAGTGATCACATAATGACTGCTTGCTAATTGCCTTTTATCATTTATAGTCTTACGACGTCCTGCAACTATAAGACGTCATTTCTTAGACCAATTAAAAACGTCATATTGAAGACATTTTGTAAACATCTGACGGATATCTTTTTGTAAATTATAACATTTTTATTTCTTAATTTCTCATAAAATCACAAATTAATCATATATTAATAATATAACTACAGAAAGTGTTAACTGTAATTGAATACGCCCGTTTAACATCATAATGTCTTTCATATTAATTGAATTTGAAGATGGAGGTGGTGTAGTAATAGACAGACAAATTTGTCTAACACCTGTAATATTTTGTAGATATTTAATAAATAAAGACTACTTTTGTGATATATCATAGATTTACTCATCAGAAATCACTGATGTACACAATATAGTTTGCCTTATTGCAATAATCATTAATCGCTATTAATCGTAATTAAACGTTGAATCCTATTGAACGTGGTCATTATTTCTTTCTTTGCCGTCAATAAGACGGCAAAATATGATAGTCAAAATATGTCGTTCCGTAGATTGACACATCGACGTCATTTTTGGGCCTTAAAGGACTTGATTTAGGATATCTTTTAATTAGTCTTTTTTTGACCAAAGTTGAAACGTTAAAACATGTCCAGCCTATGCAACGAGATTTTTATTGTTGTAAATTATATACATACATATATATATATATATATATATTGCATCAAATAAATTGCCCCAAAAAAATAAAAAATGAAAAATTGCATTTTATCTATTCATATCCAACGCATATTTCGCCTAAGCGGATATTGTATGTCGTAAATATAATTTTCATAATATTCGACATTGTTAAGAGAGTTTTGGTCTCATCGGGATCACACCCTTGCTCTCTAATTGTTCTTTTAATTGAAACTTCTGAATTTTTCCACTGGTTGTCTTTGGGTATTCATCTATAAATTCTACATAACGTGGTATTTTAAAATGCGCAATTTTGCCCCTGCAATATTCTTTCAGCTCTTCCTTTGTTACTTTCTCGCCGTCATATAATTTAATACACGCGCACACCTCTTCTCCGTAAATTTCGTCATACGCTCCTACAACTTGCGCCTCCATTACTTTGGGATGAGTCAACAAGAAGTCTTCGATTTCCTGCCAAATATATTTAATAAACTCCTCTTCTTTTTAATCAAATTCGAATTTGACATCAAATATGATTTAGCAAAACAAATTTCAGATAGCACGAACTTCTAGAAACGTCTTTAATGCATTATATTAAATATATTAAACTCTAATGTCTAAAAAATGTCTCTTAGAAGTTTATACTATCTACGATCGAATAGAGTAAATTATGCAACAATAAAGATGCACCTATAATCTCACCTTGGGAAAGATATTTTCTCCTCCTCGAATAACGATATCCTTCAGTCTTCCGACTATACGACCGTATCCGTTCTCCTCTAGGATAAATTGATCGCCGCTTTTCAACCAACCGTCTTGCGTTAATATTTTTTTCGTATTTTCCTCGTCTTCCCAGTAACCTATCATATTGCAATATCCGCGTACCCAGAGTTCACCAGGTTCACCAAAGGGAACGGGTACATTGTTTTTACCTACCACCTACTCGCAAAACGCATAATAACATGCATTAGAAGTTACCCTTGGAATCGGTGTAAAATCAGAAGAGAGTGAAAACTCGATGCTTACCATTGCTTCAACATGATTCGCCAAATAACCTACGGTCGTGTCTGAGAGATTCGTGTCCTGTCCATATATGGCTTGAAATATTATGCCTGTCGATTCCGTAAGACCATATAAAGGCTGTAACCAAGGTTTTGCTTCAATATGAACAATTCATCTCGCTTCTACTAGCATAGTAACTATTCGCTCTATTACGATTAAATTTACCAATACATCTTCCACGCCAAGTATCTTTCGTATTCTCTTGAAAAGTTCTGGTGAAGCTGGCGCACCACCGATACATCCTACTCTAAGACTCTTAATCGGTAACTGCAACCGTTGCTGCACATCGATCATGTTCACCTGTCGGCGATCGAAGCATATGCAATGAGACGCCATTTAATTAGTTCGATATCAAGTGAAAATTTATGGCATCTTTACTTCGACTTACCCACATAGTAGGTGTTCCAAACATCCAAGTGCAATTCTCTTTCACAACTGTCTCTAAAGATTTTATCGGGTTGAAGGAACGCGCTTCCAGAACAAGGGTCTTTCCCGTATGAAGACAGCCTAATTGAGACATTAGCAGCGCGAATACGTGGAAAAATGGCACGTTGCAACATATTTGGCCATCGACATATTCTAGTGTCCTTCGCACAGCCTATCGTCGTAGAGGAAAAGAGAAAGAAATAAAATGACTTCTCTCAACATATACAGAGCAATTCTCGATTGTACATCCATAAGGCACGAGAAAGAAAGACAAGAACAACGAAGAGAAAGAGAGAGAAGACTAGATGAATTTCGAATAGCTTTGCTAAAACGACTCGGTGACAAATTTGGGAAGGTTAGAGTAAGTATTAATTTTTTGCTTTAATGATCTTAGTTATTCTTAGAATTTGACAAAAAATGTTTCTTTTGGTCATTGTTTTGATGTCTGAGAAGATTTTCTATCACCTTTTTTACCAAAAAGCAGTCACTATTTTATTTTTTTGTGCCAGTGACTGATGGCAGGGTGGGAATTATCGAATAACTACTTTAATATGAAAATTTCGAAAAATAGATCATATTATCAGCACTATAAATAAAATGTTAAATAACGAAGAAAAAATTTTAATATACACATATTTGTGCGATAATATCAAGTTTAAGAAGAATATGTATAATTAAATGCTGAAATATACCTTGAAAACGTTTCGAAATGCTTAAAACTAAGAAAATTTCTAAAAATAGATCATATTATCAGCACTATAAATAAAATATTAAATAATGAACAAAATATTTAAATATATACATATTTATGCGATAATGTCAAGTTTAAAAAGAATGTGTATAATTAAATGCTAAAATATACCATGAAAACGTTTCGAAATACTTAAGAATGAGAATGCGTCATAACGAATGCCGGCTATTGACATATTAGCGCAATTACATAATGACGGGCTAATAAATAAATGATTCCATAAGTAATCGCTACAATTTGCCATCTAATAGTGGAAATATTAAGAGGAGCTGTAATACCATCTTGTCTCCTCTACGATTATCAAACAGCTAACAATATAGTTTGCATCTCTTACTTCTCTACTGTTATTCACGGCAGAATGGTGTGAAATGAGCGTCGCTTTGGGCTGGCCGGTAGAGCCGGATGAGAACTGTATACTACATGCGTCGTAACAAGATATTTTAGTTTGTTCAGCAGCGATAGCGTCCACTTCCTTTCTCGTTGGGAGTGCTTCGACATCGACGAAACGACGGATACCACTGTAAATAGACGTAAGACGTTATATTTAAATCGCTCTCTCAACGAGTAAATGTAGTATATCAGTGAGTAAATAAGATAAAGAATAGCGCGAATAAATAAAGCTTGATAAGGCCTTTATCTAATTATGTTTTAATTCACCAGTAAAACAAGGTTATCTTATTTGTGAATTAATCGAAATTAGTGAACGATATTCCTATTCATAAAAGAGAAGACATTGCAACGAGAAGTCTCTTTTTCTTTAAATATCTAGAGAAGAATATTCGAGTGATGTAGTAATGGTCCACGACAAAAATACGCAGAAAGGAGTTTTGACGAAGTTGCTTTGCGAAATTGCTGGCGCCCTGACATCGAAACTCGCTTTCGCTTTAAACTCTATTACCCTACCCCAGCGGTCGTTCAATCTTTGCCTTCTTTTTGACCTTAGATCGATACGCTATTTCATATGCCGTGAAACAGAATACTCTTATACCTTGGCCGTTTACTAGCGAATATATCAAAGTACAAATCGTTACGACATTTCAATGACTACTTATTAATATAATTTACCGTTAAGGTGTAACAGTGCATATTTTTTAATTCATGTATAATTCGTACCTAATTAAATTTTATATTTCATTCTACTTTGTCCCCCCCCCCTCCCCCTCTCTCTCTCACTCTCTCTCTCTCTTTCTCTCTTTCTTTACTTCTCTCTTTATTTCTCTCTCTTTCAAGGAAAAATACTCAGTTCATGTAACAGCTTTTCTATTATCTGAAGACCAGACGAAAACTAAATTATAAGTAGAATAGAAAGATTGATATACGAGATTTCTATTGACTAATTATTCTCAGTTATTTCAGCTTAGTTTTGACATAGCTAAATATTCAAACGAACGTTTTAAATTGCGATAACAGAAAAAATGTTTCACGTCACTGAGTTTTCGTCTGGTTCCCATTCTATTATAAATTGAATTTCTTTTTTCATGTTGAAGTAAAGAAAATTTGAAGAGCGTTCGAAAGGAAAAGCAACGTGTGCAGCTTGAATGACTAAAACGATGGCGAAAAATTAACTCGTATTAATTTTTTCCGTATCTCACAAGTTCCAAAAGATATTGATATTTGAAAAAAGAAGCGCGAGCGCATATACAAGAGATTTGATACAATAGTCACGGCATGTTCGTCGTCCATTTTGTAAAGTTGAGCAAAAGGTTCCCGTCAGTTAAAGTGCTAGAGCTCACGCGATAGTCACGACAAAGTTAGATGAAGCGAGTGCACTCTAATGTGCAAATATGCTAGAAGTTCACAAAAAATCGTAGACGCTCGCTCTGATTCATAGCTTTTCTAAAAGGCTGTCGTAACTGCTCGAGATAATAATAACTGCGTTATTATGAAATTACTTTTTATACGAAAATATTATCTTCCTTTAATAAAATTAAATAGAGATATACTGGTGCAGATAATACGAGGAAGCAGGAAAAGAAACCTCGAAAAACTTGTTTAATAATTATCATCTCCGAGACGCGTAAAGATAATAACTTTCCTTCGAAAAATTTTATTTTGTACGATTTCGGCAATTACTTCCCAGGAAGAAGTCTTTACACGAAAACGTCTATTTAGGAGTGCGATAACGCGTATTAACTGTAGAATATCTTACGTTATGTGATCCTTGGAATAAACGATAATATGTTCCATAAAGGGACACATTTCTTTGACGGCGAGCAACATCTTCGGATAATTATTCGTTTTAAACGAGTCCGGGGAGACAATAGCCTTCACTTTGACTTTCTGCAGACAATATATTAGTTCGTTCTGTTGATACAGAGGATTGATCGCGACAACGATCAGGCCCAGTCTCATTGCGCTCAAAGAAGCTATGTACCATTCGAGATCGTTCGGACCCCAAATGCCCAGCCGATCATCTTTCTTCAAACCTAACTTCTTAAGGCCTGCGGCGAACATATCGACCCGTCGAAGAAGCTCGGAGAATGTTACCCGAATATCCTGCGATACGACACAAACTCGTTCCGGCCACTTAGCTACCGCTTTGCCTAACAATTGTCCGATGGTGTCATCCAACAAGGGAGATTCACCGGGATTCAACATGTGAGCGAGTTTGATCGGGTGAGAAGCGTTTGTCCTAATTTGTATGTTTGATCTCCGAGGCTGATGTTCGTCTGGAATGATTTATCATGACTGTTGCGTAAAGCCAAATGCTAAATATAATAATAACCACATACTCACAATTGCTCCTAATTTATTTACTCACCTCTCAAGTCACCGTGCAATATAGAGAAGCATCGTGCGTAGCAACGGCGATTCAAATTGCCGGGTGCGACGTATCGCGAGATCGATTTAAGTAGGAAAAACATCGTTGTGTCGACGAAAAATTACACGAATTACACTTACACGAAACAGTTCGCTGAGTTAAGAAGCAAAATAAAGACTGTGCACGTTAAGTCCTTCGACGCTTTAGCTTTAAAAAGTTTTACCTAAGTATTATCTTCTTCTTATCTTACGTTTATAATTATCAATGGTCTCAGCATTTTCTAAACGAACACACTTACAGAGTACGAACATATTCACATAGTACATTACTTAAAAATTTTTATGTTGAAATTTACATTCTATTTACATTGTAATAAATATTTATATTTAGTGATATAAGCTTGCTACTTTTATTACAAATTTTCGTTTTTCGCTAACTTGTTTGATTTACTTAAAAAGATCTTCTAGTCTAGAAGAACCAAAAAACTTGAATTTTATTTTTATTTCTGCGTTTTTCTAACTCTTTATGTATTCAAACTGAATGTATAAAAAGATTTTCTAAAATTCAAAACATTTTCAGAATAATATACTTTGTAGCATGGTTATAAGACGCCTCATTATCTGAGAAAAGACCTAGTTTGTATAATTGTATTATGTCAAGGAAAAGCAAAAAAGTATCGGTGATAAAGGAGCATAAAAACTGATTAATAAAGTAACCAAAGTTCAAACAGTTTAACTTAAAAATACATAAGAAAATCAAGTTTGCATAATCAATGAAGGATACATATCAATATTGAAGATGATGAAAGTAATGAGAATAATCATTGGAAATGAGAGAAACGATACTTTAAAAAAAGGTTAGGATTGCATAAGAAAAAAAGGCGGCTTGAAATGATTAATTTGAAAAAAGAGGAAGATTCATTTTATTAATCTGATATAGCAGATTAAGGTAATCAATTATTTTTCTACTTAGTATCTCTTATTAAAACTTTAAACGCGTTCCTCTCAAAACCTATTTTTCAAACTAGTCTCATGTTTTTCTCAGAAACTACTGTACCAATTAACATCTATATTGAATAAAAATATTCGTAGCCTTTGTCTCTATCGCCATCGTTCTTATCATAATTATATCAATATCTTCCAGTTTTTTCACAGCTTCATGTCATTTAAAAATAGCGAAGTCCTATATGTATTGATATCTAAAACGTCATTATTTTGTTAAACATTGAACTGCATTATTAATCGTGATATGGACAACATATAACCACATTTGTATAAATTAAAATGATTCTTCGCTCATTTGTTTTAGATCAGCAGAATTGGTGCAAACCGCAGGACAGTAAACTCAAAACTATTTCGATATGCAATATTCAATAATTGATATGTATTGATTAAATATTGATGTATAATATACCATTCAAAGGGAATAATAGCTATACTTTTAATGTTAAGATATAAGTAAGTAAACGTACAAAACGCCAATACTTACGTGTTTTCATTGTCTAGAGAAATTCCGTAAAACTTCCAAACCGTACTTCCAAAACTGCCGTCTTAACAAGAAGATCCTCTCAATTTCGTAGAACTTTCAATGCGCAGTGATAATTATTTTCTTTTTTATCTTAAATATTTCACAATATACACCAAGATAACTTATGCTTGGAATAGATTATATAGATGATGCTGTCGACACACATGTAAAATGACTTAATGCGTTCCGCGCGAGAATATATCGGTTGTAGAAACGGACGCGACCAAAGTGAAAATGATATACAACGAACGACTTTACTGCAATGCGGATGTTACAATCATTCTGCGTTTATCAGCTTGTTTGTCTGAAAAATTTGTACACACACGCTTCGTATCGTATCATATCGTTGAAGTGAAAAACAACTGAAAGCGACGTTGCTAGAAAAACATATAATCTTCAAGCAAGCAAGCTGTTCATTATAATGACTTATGTATCGATGTTTCCACACATAAACTCTAATCAATATTCCATTTATGAATTCGTTGAAGTCACATTTATTGTTTATTAAAAGGCATGCCCTCATTACCTATTATATCGATTTGTTACTTAACAATTCAAATTAAGAAAAGCCATGTAAGAATAATTTAACGTTAAACGACTGATTTTGAAATTAAAAAATTCTAAAATTAGATTTACACCAAACGTTTCCTCGTAAATAATGCTATATTGCTTCATTGCTTAATTTCCAACTATTATCGTCGGAGGATTCTGGTCTAGCACCTTAAAAAACAGATTATTTATTTTTTACATATTCTTATAATATAATATCTCAAGAATATGTTCTTATAGCGATATTTCGAAATTCAAAATATTGACAAAGTTATAAACAGTTTAATATAAACAACTAGCCGATCATTTAAAGCGCTCAAATATAGAGATCGAAGCGCGCGGGAATCTCTTTGTATTCGGAAGTCTCCGGATGCTCAAATAAAATAAATAAACAAAATAAACGAGATTTCCTATATATACAATATAGAATTCAATGAAATATATACAATGACTTTAATATGCGTATATCTTCGTAAAGTAAGAATTATAACTTCTAACGGTTGTTCGAACTTAATTCTTCCTCGAATTTTGGCTCGAACAGATGTATGGAGAAAAAGCATTTAAGAGAAAGTCCGATCCGGCAAGACAGAAGTAAAGAAAAGAAATTTTACGGCAATCAGTTCATATCAGAAAATAAAACATCATTTACAAGTATAGCAGCTAAAAAATTGGAAGCGAGCGGTGATGAAAAAATACAATTAAATCCTAGTCACGGATATCGCTTTTTTTTCTGTATTTTCGACTCTCTCTCAACTTGTGATTTGCAAAGAGTGTAAATTTTATGAATCTCGTACACGTGGCTTGAAATTTAAAACCCGAGTGACCTGTGCGTATGGAATGCAATTTTCGTGGCTGCTTATCGACAAAACATAAGAAATAAACCGAAGTACTGTTTTTGTGACAAATTTACTAATTAGCGTATAAGGTTCAAATATATTTTCTAATAGCGATAGAGGTCGAGCGCGTGATTGGTGTAGTAGATAGCGCATTGGTCTGCGACACTAGAGGTCCCGGGTCCGATTCCCCGCAAAACCGGAAAAATTTATGTATGCTCGTGTTTTCTCTGGACGGTTTGGCAAGCCATCAGAGTATATCTGCTCAAAGAACCTCTTGCAAAAAATACCTTTTGAAGTCAGCGTTAAACTGTAGGTCCCATATGCCTGTATATAATCATCATGCGCTTTACAAGCATATAAGTCAGAGGAAACAACAAGCCTGATATTATAATTTATTTTAAGATAATTTATTACATTTCAAAGTTCTTATGTTGAAATTCAGTATTCTCTCTTAATACTTCAATACGTGTGAATTTTACTCGCTATCTATCGCAAAACTGCAGATGTCACTCTGGATATTATATTAGATTATGATATGGGTTAGATCAGGCGTTTTTATCGTGCGCAGTTTGTATTATCTCGCATTACGAAAGTATGCCGTCAAGGAGACATGTCCAGTGCGAAAAATAGGGAGTATGCACGAGCGAGCCCTTGGTCCCGGCTAAGGAGGGCGAAAGAAGGTGAAAAAGAATGAGGAAGGTTATTCGGAGCCGTAGCAGAGTCCGGTGGATTCGAGATAGCCGGATAGCGTGCCTGCCGGACTGGTCCGGAAGTCGCGTGTCGACGGCAACCCCTAACAGCCCCACCGCGACTCTCGTCCTACCTCCGTCTTCGTTACCACCACCTACACACACAATTTCCTTACCTTACCTCACCTGCAAACGACGACGACCAGCACGGCCTACCGCGAGATTGGCTTGTGTGCGCCGAGGGCAATCCGTGCAAATCGAATGGTAAGGGAGTGTTGGTGTAACGTTACCCTAACGAACCATGAGAACGAGTCAGCGATTGGTCGATCCTGCCGAGCGGGCGAGCGAGGCCCGAGGAAAAGCAACCCTCTCTTCATTCTCGGCTACGTACCGTCCTCAGAATCGCCAGGATAACCGTGCCGTGAACACCACTCTGATACCGTCAACGTTCTCGCTCGAACTCTACCCGAGAACAAATAGAGACTAAACAACAAGACGATCGATCGAATCTCGTATCTGAGCGTATTACATCTCTCTAAGCGTATCGCATCTATCGAAATAAACGCCGAATAATATTTTCGGAGTACTTGCTACTACTCGCGTTCACTGGCGATACTTTTCACTCGGGGTCATCTCGGCGACGAGGCAGAGCTGCCTCTCTATCGTTCGTCTAACAAAACTCTCTGAAATCGCGTTACGTGATAAACCTCGGAAACCGTCTTCCATCCTCGGCGAGTGTAACGTGTACACATTGGCCCAAGAGTGTCCACCGGGTGGCCGTAATCTCTTCGTGCGGCACGAGCGTCAACGACGCGCACGATCTTCGACGAGAGTGAGTCGCTCGAGCGAACCATGCTCGCGTTCTGCGCGGTGGGATCGTACGGTGTAACATGAGCAGCAACAGCAAGAAACCACCGGGAGGCAAGGACGACAAGAAGAGTCCCTCCAGCAAGGAAGAGAGCCCGTCGGGCGGCAAGGACGATGGTGGTTCGGCAACGGGAAGTAATGGCGGCGCGGCCGGAGGAGAACCTTCGCAGCCAGGAAGCAAGCCCAGCTCCGCCGGTGCGACCGCCAGAGAAGGGGCCCAGAGACTCCTGGGCCTGGCTGCTCGCGGAGAATGGGCACCCGTGGACCAGCTGCTCAAATCTCTGGAGAAGACGGTGCAGAGCGCGGGGGAGGATAGCTTCATCGCGCCTCTCGCCGGCGTTCTGGATCCGGTTAGTCGAAATGATTCAGCGAATAGACCGATGACATGTTTCGATCGATACGATTTCTTGGCATCGACGAAACCGCGACGGTCAAGTCAGATTTCAGCAATCCGAGAGAATGTACAATGTTCCTCTGTGCGGATGATTTATATATTCCGCGCGCGCGATATTTATCGGCGAAGCTTAGCGGGAAATCTTTGATAGGCGGAAGAGATAATCGAATAAGTAGGAGAATTGCATGACGAGCTTCTCGCCCACGACGATTTGTTCCCGCATATTCTTAGACGGGGGCTTATTTTCTTTGCAGACGACGGGAATGACGCCGTTGATGTACGCGGTGAAAGACAACCGCAGCGCGCTGCTCGATCGGATGATCGAGCTTGGAGTCGACGTTACTGCCAGGAACAACGCAAGTACTCTACGGTGATAAACGCGAGAGTTAAACAAGTCGCTCGATTGATCAATCGTATGCAGGAGACTGTTCTCTGATAAAATTCACGGAGAAGCCGCGAGTTACCCTTTTTTTGCGACAAAAATAGGACCAATCATACGGGGCATGAATTTTTCGAATTGTCCCGTCTGGAAAAGGAAACTTTGGTAGCTGACTGGTCGATTTATCTTTTACAAGATTATAATATATTTAATTACTAATCACATGAAAAAAGAAAGAATTATAATCTATATGATACAATTGAAATTTAGTTACCAACACAGAGAAAATATTATAATAAAAATTATAAAATTTTGTAATATTGGACCACCTCGGAATTATCTTTTAAGAAAAAATATTGATTAGGTGCATCAGTAACTAATAAATATTCAAATTAATTAATCATGTTCTATCAATTACTGACGTGAACATAACACTGACTGACGTCAATTGAATTTCGCAATTGATTGATAATGTTGGATCAGTTCAGATCAGTAATTAATAGAATATTATTAATTAATTTCAATATTTATCAGTTAATAGTATTTCATCGCATACGTTTGCACTCACACACGCTCAAAAAGAGAGGAAAATTGCGATTTATTTACATTTCCGAGATATACTCAAATTATTTAAAATTATTTTTTCATGATATACTTATCATATATTTTCTGGTTCATGAATTACTGAATTAAATATCAAACGCTACTGAACTTCTTGCTATCGGCGTTCGCGCATGTGCAATCTTGAATTAGTAAACTGGTAGATAAATAAATAAGAAATTGGCCAGTCAAAATTTACATTATCTTCTGTTGCTAAATTCTTTGACATTGCTAATACGAGAAGTTTTCCCTGCTGAGATTACGCGACAATGGCATGTGATACAGCGTCTATTGCGAAAGTGAAGCGTGCTGCGGAACGTGCACAGTTAATGATCGAGCCTTGTTAATCTGTGCTAAGTCTAGTCGCTCGGGGCACGTAGAAGGAAACGATTGCGTGAAGGAGGGCCAAGGCCAAGGAGCTTGTGCTTACTGACCGACTGGACAAAGCGAGTGTTCGTGTGAGGGAGCAAGTAGGCCGTTTGGCTTTCGATCAAACACAATGAAAAAGCAATCTGATTTTTAGGGTAGATTAACCCGTTAAGGTTGTCCATCAGCGGTTTTAAAGCTGCGACGACCTTTCACGTTTGATATCGCTGACGAAGCCACCCAGACGGATGACTCCGTTCTTAATGCTAACTTTTCTGAGAAATAAGCAATCTCATAGAACCTATACAATAAAACGTATCGATTTGAAATGCCCTATGAGTCACAGCTTTCGTCGTGACTCGGAAATTTTTTCGTGACGCCGCGCTGAGGAAATTTATAAATATTCGCTAATTTGTGTGTGCGGTAAAAGCTTTCGCTTCGCACACGGGAAAAGCATATAATTTAACTGAGAAATTTAGTTACCAGACTTAGCTCTTAGCTGTAGGAAACTAAAAACTAAGCACAGGGATATAAATAATTAGTTCAATTAACTAAATTTCAGTTGTGGACTATATGGACAGCTAATTTCTATCTATCCGTGGGATTCAGTTTCAGTTGTCGGATCTAGTTTTTAGCTTTGGCGGCTACTTCTTTTTTTTTTCATGCATTTATGCGCGACACGTCGATCATATTTGCAACTATCGACGTGTTATGTCTACCACTCCCACGATGACTTCGATATAATTATCAAATAGCATGCTGATACACACGCTGTAATCGAAAGGTCGAAACGCCATTAAATCAGTTCGCGTTTATGGGTGCGGCAATACAAAATTTATGGCCTTATCATCTTATTACTTGTTCCCCTGAAACTCTCCGTGCATCGAGCACGATTACGATTCCATTATGTGAGACATAGGAAATTGTGCGATAACAGAAAAGTGCAATCGTGCATCGCGCTTTCTTCCCAAGCGTTCACAGATATATGATAGAGCCAATTCGCGGATTTATAGGAAATTGCTTGATAGATAGGGAGTATGTATAGTTTCTAGAAAAATTCAAGAAATATAAAGGTCTCATGGGCACACGCACCACTTTCCACAGGATAATTACAATGCACTCCACATCGCCGCCATGTACTCGAGGGAGGACGTCGTCAAATTGCTACTGTCCAAGAGGGGCGTCGATCCATACGCCACCGGCGGGGTACGAATACACAATTATTTTTATAACTTAAAGAACTGCGAACATTCTCCTTGCGACGATATAAATCCGCTGGTCTCCGATATAATCTCGCTAACCCTGTACATGCGTCACTATGCGCAGCCAAGGCAGCAAACAGCGGTTCATCTGGTGGCGTCAAGACAAACGGGCACCGCCACGTCGATTTTGCGAGCCCTATTGGGTGCTGCTGGACGAGATATCAGACTGAAGGTCGACGGCGTAAGTAACAGGATGACACCGATCTCGCGGGATCACGCGACAGATAAATAAGAACTCGACGCGCGAAATACGTCGCGGTTAAGTCACGCCGCCGTCGTCGGGTCGATCTTCTCTCGATATGTCAAAACGAATCAATCGAATCGCATGGCGCCGTAACAAGACGGTTCGTGCTAGCCCCAAAACTCCGAATTGGACGTAGATAAAGATTTTTCCGCAATAGTCGCGGCACGATGCTCCCGTTTCGCGTTCGCGTTTCTCGCGTGACAACTGCCGAGAGATCGCTACCTGGTACGGGACGGCGCTATAACTCTTCTCCAGTTTGCTTTTTCCTCCTTGACTGTCTTCCACCTCCACCTCCTCTTCCTTTTATCTGCCATACGCCATGTCGCAATGGCGCGACGTCACCGATTTCAAGTGATATCGATGAATGCGCGACGGTCACCTATATCAATAACAAAAACGCCTTTGAAGACACTCAAACAACATTAAGTGGTCCTAAAACATCGTTATCTTTTAGATAAGATACAATATATTTAACAAGTCTTTAAGATTCTTTAAAGAGTCTTGAAGTCTCTTAAATACACGTGTTATTCGGATATACATATCGGGATACACGATGTTTCAAATAAACGCGAAAAACCATTTAAGTTCACCTCGTCATTTCTCTGTGTAGAAAGGGAAGATACCCCTTTTGCTAGCGGTGGAGGCTGGCAATCAATCGATGTGCCGGGAACTTTTGGCGCAGCAAGCACCTGATCAGCTTCGGGCCACCACACCTGCAGGTGATTCCGCTCTACACTTGGCTGCGAGAAGGCGAGATATCGACATGGTGCGGATACTGGTGGATTACGGCGCGTCCGTCGACATGCAAAACGTACGTTAATGATGTATTAGGTTTCGCATCTACAACAAAACTTACCAAATATATCAAGTTATCAGAAGCATGGATCTTGTGGTGCCGTATATGAACCCATAACAGCATAGAACTCCAAGGGACGTCCTAAAGATGTTCAGAGGACGTTCTATGCCCTAAGGACACGGAATATTTTTTAATACATTTTTTATTACATTACGCAAAATTTTAGGTTTTTACGGCATGAATAAATACTTAACTTGTATAACTTCCAAGCGCCGAATCCTTTATGGATTTGTTTCCAAAATGCGGCGCTAACTTGGAAGCCAAACAAATACGACGGTGAAATTTTAGGCACGAAGGTCCTAGACGCGAAAGAAATTAAGGCTAGTAATGATCGAACAATAATAATGTTCCGACATTGCTGATTGCACGGTATTTTCGAAATGTCGCGTGTCACTCCGTTCACACATCTCCGCGACAACCTGCGACGTTATTTCGTACCTAAGCTTCAACATCGCGGGCGAATTGAGCGCAGAACTCGAGAAGATCGATCACATACGGAGATACCGCACGTGACTGACTTGTAAATTACTACAAACATTGCTACAAGACGCGAGTTTATGTTCCTAAATGAGCAATAATTAGGAGCAGGTCGTAAAATTTGCGACAAGGTCGTAAAGGTTACCCTTCGCGTACTGCTTTCACTCGTATCAAATAATTACCTCGCTCGGAAAGCACGTTCGTTTTTCTCTTTTCGGTTTCGATCAACAGTGTGTTTCGCCACCAATGTGTGCAACATACAAAGAAGTATGATAAAAGGAACAAATTCCTTCATGAATTTCTTTTTATGATAATTTATGGTGCCAACGTGTCCTTCGCTGACGCACGACGATGTGCCCGGCACAGAGTCTTAATTGCGTCACAAAAATTTAATAGTGGAACATGCATGAGGAGGGCATGCATGCGTAATGCATGAGAATGACTGTCGCATTGCGTCCACCAGGTAACCATGTACGCAGGACTAAGTTCTCAGTTAACGACGACATGTATTAGGAGAAAGTACGGGCATTGGTTCCTCGTAGAAATACCGCATTTTTCCAAATCGGCACGCGCGAGACGTCGAATGGTATCGGACGAGGATTGACGACGTGAGCAATTTATCGTATTGTAATCGTGCGGTGTGAAGTGAAAAAATATATTTTTGTAGTCACGTCGAGTTTTTTGAAGAGTTACATGTGCACGTATAATTAGGCGACGTAAAGTGCCGTCGCAACTGCTTATAACGTTGGAAGTGATTCATCGAATTGAAATTTTAAATTCTTCATTAAATCTTCAAGGAGAGGAATTCAAAATAAGTTATTATTTGTAGCAATAAAGGAATACAATAAGTGCTTCTTTAACCCCTTGACATACAATGACGAGTCTGACTCGTCATTCATTTCATGGGCCACTGTAGACTTTGACGAGTCTGACTCGTCAAGCGCTTTTTTCGGTTCTTTGTTAACATCAATCTGATTAATAAAAATCCAAATTTCAAAATAAAATGTACACTTTCTCAGCTTTCACGTAACTGTTCAGTTGAGCGAAATTAAATAGTATTTTTTGGTCGCATTAAGTTCCATTTAATTTGTATGTCAAGGGGTTAACAAAGTTCATATAGGTCGAATCCGACCCGTAGACGCATTTTGTAGATTTTCAACTAATTTTTCCGACTAGATACTTTTTATTCTTATAGTAAATCAAGAAATATTTAAAAATAAATAAAATATATCGCAAAATGTAAAATATCTGAATATAACGCTTCACAAACGTATTTTTGCGGAAACATACTAAAATATGGATCCGACCGATCTTATTATCGGAGGATTAATGGTACAAATAGGAGTTGAAATCTCCAGAGTCTAAATTTTAATTCTACATTAAGTCTTCAAATGAAGAAAACGGCAACAATAATTTCCTCATTTGTAGTATCAAAGGAGCACGATGGAAGGCCTTCGAAAACTTAATATGGAACTAAATTAGACTTCAAGTAGGACTAAAAATTTCGACTCGGGTTGTTTCAGGGCGACGGACAGACCGCGTTACACATAGCGAGCGCCGAGGGTGACGAGACTCTGGTAAAATATTTCTACGGTGTCCGCGCGTCCGCTTCGATCACCGATCATCAAGATCGGACGCCTATGCACTTGGCTGCTGAGAACGGTCATGCATCTATAATCGAGTTGTTGGCTGATAAGTTCAAGGCGAGCATTTTCGAGAGAACAAAGGACGGTTCTACTCTAATGCACATAGCGTCGCTCAACGGTCACTCGGAATGCGCTACTATGCTTTTTAAGAAAGGCGTGTATCTACACATGCCGAACAAACGCGGCGCCCGGTCGATTCACACGGCCGCGAAATACGGTCACGTGGGTATCATCAGTACCTTGCTGCAACGAGGCGAGAAGGTGAGTTTACATCTTCGAAACTAAAATTTTCGGCGAACGCTCGGCAAGTATGCTTTTAAACGTCCGGTAAACTGCGTGGAGAAATATTCTAAGGCTCGAAGAATACGCTATTAGCACTAACGCCTTCATTTTAATTTTATCGCCCATTGAATACTCAACAAGAATATAATGACATTAGCATTGATCAGCGCGCTCCGTAAACGCACCTTAACCCTGTTAAGGTCATAAACGGCCATGTTAGCTTGCTGGAAGTTGATTGTAACTCACTTAAAGCACTCAAAAGAAACGAATACGAAGGATGTTGGAGCATGTTGGAGAAGTGCCCAGCAAAGCTTTCTGCAACGATCAGTATGCATGCACGGAGAGAAAAATTGTGGTTTCGGATCATCCATCCACTTCCGAGTCGCGATCACCGTTGCTGAACTTCGATGACGGCTGGCACTGATTCCAATGGCTCTAATGATATCTTTTGTGCTTACACAAGACTTATTATAAGTGTGGAAACCCTTTAATATCGAAAACTACGCATTTTCGGAAAAAATATTCCATACAAAAGTTGTACGGTTTTAAGTTGACGCATTACATAGCGAATAAAGGAACAACATGAGAGCGCTCATTTCTACAAACATTTCTTGAGTGCTTCCGTCCGACTCATGAAAAATGTCTCTATTTTCTTTTCGATTGGTCGTTCATGATCCGTCGATTGGTTGTACGTGATTCTTGCCAAACGCTTCTCCCGGGGAGTCAGTCCGTCCCGCGTTTTTCTGTCAGGTGGACGTGGTGACCAATGACAACTACACGGCGCTCCATATAGCTGTGGAAAGCGCTAAACCGGCCGTCGTGGAGACACTTTTGGGATACGGCGCGGAGGTACACGTGAGGGGTGGGAAACTTCGGGAAACTCCGCTTCACATAGCCGCCAGGGTGCCGGACGGTGACAGATGCGCCTTGATGTTATTGAAGTCTGGGGCCGATCCGAATTTGACAACCGACGACGGTCAGACGCCCGTTCATGTGGCGGCCAGTCACGGGAACCTGGCGACCCTACTTTTACTTCTTGACGACGGCGGCGATCCGATGGCCAAATCAAAAGTACGCTGACTAGACGAGAAATGAAGTCTGAGATAAATTCTAAGATGCACTCTTGAAATATACATTAAAAAAAGGGCTACCGCTCAAGTAATATTTACTTGATCCAAGTAAAATGGTCACTCCAATATACATTGGAAAATATTGACTAATAGTAGAAATATGTTGATTACACACAATATGATATTTCTCTCATATTAATAGACATTTCCTTGTATGTGTTAAAACAATTGCAACAAATATTATCTAGTGAGTACTCTCTTAAATTTCAAACCATTTTACGCTTATATACAGTAATTTAAATTAAGATATTATTGCGTTCAAGTAAGTATTTACGAGTTATTAAAATATAAAATTGATAAAAATATCGCTTGATTTAAGAAGCTGGAAAGCAGGTAATAACGTTTATTTGATCCTAGCACATTTTTTCCCGCATGATTATTTCAAGCTGCGAGAAATAAGTAATTGATCCCTCTAAAACTTCGAAGATTCTTTTACGACGATTTCACGACGCGAGTTTTCTATTTCTCCCCCCCCCTCAGAACGGAGAGACGCCCTTGCATTTAGCCTGCAGGGGTTGCAGAGCGGACGTGGTCCGGCAGTTGATCGAATTCGTGAAGCAGACGAAGGGCGCCGAAGTGGCGACTTTCTACGTGAACAGCGTAACCAACGAAGGAGCCAGTGCTCTGCATTACGCCGCCCAAATCGAACCGTCGGAAGTCGTTATTCCCGGTGACGATCGTGCGATAGTCCGTGCACTTCTCGACAGCGGTGCGGACGTCTCGTTGCAAACAAAGCAGGCTCAGGAATCGGCGTTTCATCATTGCGCCCTTGCGGGTAACAACGAGGTCCTGCAGGAGATGATCAGCCGCATGTCGGCCACGGAAGTACAAAAAGCTTTGAACCGGCAGAACGCCGTCGGTTGGACGCCGTTGCTGATCGCCGCTCATCGAGGCCACATGGAGCTGGTGACCACACTGTTAGCCAATCACGGCAGGGTCGATGTGTTCGATCTCGAGGGTAGATCCGCCCTTCATCTGGCCGCCGAGCACGGCTACCTTCAGGTGTGCGACGCGCTCTTGGCGAACAAGGCCTTCATAAACTCCAAGTCGCGCGTAGGCAGGACCGCCTTGCATCTGGCCGCCATGAACGGTTACACGCATCTGGTGAGGTTCCTCGTGCAAGACCACGGCGCCGCGATAGACGTGCTCACTCTGAGGAAGCAGACGCCTCTTCACTTGGCGGCGGGGGCGGGGCAGTTGGAGGTCTGCAAGCTTCTGCTGGAACTCGGCGCCAGCATAGACGCCACCGACGACCAGGGGCAAAAGCCGATCCACGCCGCGGCGATGAACAACTACGCCGAGGTGGCGCAACTTTTTCTGCAGAGGCACGCCAGCCTGGTGATGGCCTGCACCAAGGACGGCAACACCTGCGCCCACATCGCCGCCATGCAGGGTAGCGTCCGTGTAATCGAGGAACTGATGAAGTTCGACAGACAGGGCGTGATCTCCGCCAGGAACAAACTGACGGAGGCCACTCCGCTGCAGCTGGCGGCGGAGGGTGGCCACGCTGAAGTGGTGAAAGCTCTGGTGCGGGCCGGGGCGTCCTGCGCCGACGAAAATCGCGCGGGCTTCACAGCAGTTCATCTGGCGGCTCAACATGGCCACGGCCAGGTGTTGGAAGTGATGAGGTCGTCGCAATCCCTGAGAATCTCTAGCAAAAAGCTCGGCGTCACCGCGCTACACGTGGCTGCTTACTTCGGGCAAGCCGGTGAGTAGGAATCTGGTAAAACGGTCTCGAAATTTTCAGATTTTTGCGCGGTTGGGTAAGTTCATTTTTAATTTCGACTAAATTATGTTAAAAGAGTTAATGGCCTGTAAAATAAACTTAGTTAACGTTGAACGTTACCTAAATCAAAACTAATTCAATTTTAAGTTAAGTTAATATTAAATTATTTCATTAAAGTTAGGAGCCATTCGGGAAATGTATCACGCAAATTAATTTTTTATCCACCCCTTCGTCACATTTCGTCATATAAAGTATTTACTTTCTTCTAATATTACGTGACGTGCGAAATCAGTGATGCCAAAGTATAGAAGCGGGGCCATCATCAGATGAGTGATAGGATACTTAATAAAGAGGAGTTACGTACAGTATGTTACGTAAGTTATGTACAGTCGGCCACAGGACAGTTGCAACAGTTTCTTTTACAAGCTTCGGAACGTACAAAAGATATTACAAAGCCAATTCATGATTTGCGACACGTGCAATAATAAATAGTCAGACAATATGCACACATGTACAATTTTTACATATATGTAAATAAATGTAAATAGTATATATATGTAAATAGTGTTTTCCTTAACAACTATCAACAACTTTAGCTAATTATCTACCGTATATTATGTTCGTGAATCAAAATTCGCCTCATCGTATCTTCTGTATGTTCCAAAATATGATAAAAGAACTGTTACAATTGTCCTATGGCCGACTACACATGTATCATATATGCTTGCCACTTTTCTTAAAGTATAAATACTGAAAAATTAACATTTTGATTATTAACACGAAATTATATCAAAACTTAACATTTTTCACCAAATGTAATCAAAGATATAACGAATACAAATGAAGTAAATAACCACGCGCATTTATATTTACAAGTTATATCATCTAATGTGACGTTTTATGGTCTTTACTCCTCCTCCCCCTTCGAATCGACTTCAGGTTCCTGGGATTTCGCGAAGCGAAACTTTGGCAAGTAACAAACGAGGTAAGACTGGCCAACGTGCGTTTGATTGCTTCTAGATACGGTCAGAGAATTGCTAATATATATACCTGGGACCGTGAAATCCGATCCACCGACTGGAGGAGCTCTGGTTGCGGAATTAGGAAGCGAATCCGGGATGACACCTCTTCATCTGGCCGCCTATTCCGGAAACGAGAACGTCGTGCGTTTACTATTGAACTCTGCGGGTGTCCAGGTAGGAATCCGATAAGTGCGTTAATACCGCTCGTAAATATCTAACTTGAGCGAATGATAAAACACGAGGACACTCTAATCGCAGGCAGACGCGGCGACCACCGAAAACGGATTCAATCCTTTGCACTTGGCCTGCTTCGGCGGTCACATCACCGTCGTCGGTCTGCTGTTGAGCAGATCGGCGGAGCTGCTGCACAGCGCAGACCGTTACGGCAAGACCGGGCTGCACATCGCAGCGACCCACGGTCACTACCAGATGGTGGAGGTTCTCTTGGGTCAAGGGGCTGAGATAAACGCGACCGACAAGAACGGCTGGACGCCGCTTCATTGCGCTGCGCGTGCCGGTCACCTGGACGTCGTGAAACTGCTCGTCGAGAGCGGAGCATCCCCGAAGAGCGAGACGAATCTCGGTTGCGCGCCGATCTGGTTCGCCGCGTCCGAAGGTCACAACGACGTGCTGAAGTATCTCATGGAGAAGGAGCACGACACATACGCCCTAATGGAAGACAGGAGGGTAAGACGTGTGTGATCGATAAGAGTGATAACTCTTTCGTCTAGTTCGCCTACACGTACAACTCGGACAAGCTCGCCCCGAGCTATCCGGGTCGCGTGGAAACGACCTCGAGTCAAGTTACCCGAGGCCAGACATTTTCGAAATTCTCACAGCGTCGCAATTTCGCATATTTTGCAGGCTCAAGAAGCAGAACATTGGGAAAGTTTACTCATTTCGTCGGCCGAAGTCGACAAACCGAACTAATAAATCTGCACTTTAATGTTATGTATGCACGCAATACGCGGTTGAACGGTACCGTTTTCGTCGACGAAAATTTATTGTTGACTCACGTTTGGCTCAAGACAATTTTAACCCATTTGCATCATGACTCTACTTAAGTTTCTGTGTTCAGACATCAGCGGCGTTCAACTGACGGTTGGCCCATATCACCGCGCGCGGCCGTATATCGGCAGTTTTATTATTTTCGTTACCTTCTACAGTGCACAGTTAACTTCCACAGTAAATGACTTCCGAATAGTTCGTGGAGTTTATTTAACATGGTTTATTTAAAATGAGATCAGCGTGTCTGTCGTGCAAAGTTCCGCGGTCGGCGCTCTCCTACGAAACTTGAACGCAATACGATCAATTCTAAACAGAATGTTACTCCGTAGAATGATTCATCGATATATGTGAGCCTCCTAGAAGCCAAACTGAATAACTCACACTTTTCGTGCTCTCCATGTTTTTCTTCTCAATATTTTTTCTTAATTTGCGTCATCGGTCGTGCGGTTTCGGTGTGTTACATACACGGGGAAAAATAATTTGCCGGCACAGCAAATTTTATGTTGTCGCGGCATGATCTGTCAGTTACTATGGACAGCAACGAGATTTGTTAAGAATATTAATCGCCGTTTGCGTAAATTATTTTGATGAATTTACAAGTTATTTTGCTGTAAGAACAGATTAATAAATGTAAGAAAATATTATTTTGTTTCAATGGCAAATTAACATGCGCTGGACAAATTCGCTCGGCAAAATTTTTCCAGCAACAAAACTGTTTCTGCTCTAATTACAAATAATTCGCTAATTTGGTAATTTTGGCCAATTAAATTTTATCGCTATCGCGACGAATGTGCAATAGCAACGGTGGTTTCGCTACAAACAGCAAAATTATTTTTCTCCATCCGCGTACCGACGAGTTATACTTTAACAGCCATTGTTATATTTAACTTTAATATTTCCTATAACATTTGCTAAAATTTACGAGAAATATAGTCGATCGGCGCATGGCTTCCGTGAAACTCACGTGTCGATGTGCCCAGAAACGTGGCGTTTAAAATTTCCGTTTGAGCGTTACCAAAACTGTCATTATTCTTTCAGTTCGTCTACAATATGATGGTCTGCAGCAAAAGTCACAACAACAAGCCGATAGAGGAGTTCGTCCTGGTATCGCCCGCGCCGGTCGACACGGCTGCCAAGCTGTCCAACATTTACATGAAGCTCTCCGAAAAGGAGAAGGAACGCGCCAAGGATTTGATCGCGGCCGGGAAGCAGTGCGAGGCCATGGCGACCGAATTGCTGGCGTTAGCGGCGGGCGCCGATTCAGCCGGCAGGATCTTGACGTCGATGGACCGCAGGAACGTTGAGTTCCTGGACGTGTTGATCGAGAACGAGCAGAAGGAGGTGATCGCGCACACGGTGGTGCAGCGTTACCTCCAAGAGCTCTGGCAAGGCAGCCTGAATTGGAACGCGTTCAGGACGATCCTGCTGTTCATCGCCTTCCTCGTGTGCCCGCCCGTCTGGCTCGTGTTCGCCCTACCGTTCGGCCACAAGTACAACAACGTACCGATCATTAAGTTCATGTCATACCTCACGTCGCATATTTACCTGATGGTCTTCCTACTGTTGGTCGGCATCACACCCATCTATCCGGTGGTGAGAGCCAGTCTGATACCGTATTGGTACGAGTGGTGCCTGCTGGTGATGCTGTCGGGGTTGTTACTGTTCGAGCTGACGAATCCCAGCGACAAAAGCGGCCTGGGCTGGATCAAGCTGGCGGTGCTGCTCTTCGGCATATTCGGCGTGGCGTTCCACCTACTGGGCTTCGTGTACGTGACCAGAGAGTCTTGGCCGACTCTGCTCTACCTGAGGAATCAGCTTTTCGCTCTGAGCTTCCTTTTAGCATGCGTGCAAATACTGGACTTCCTGTCGTTTCATCATCTCTTCGGACCTTGGGCCATCATCATTGGTAATCTCATGAAGGACCTCGCGAGATTCCTCGCGGTCTTGGCCATCTTCGTCTTCGGCTTCTCCATGCACTTTGTCGCGCTCAATCAGGCGTTCAAGAATCAAACGCCACAAGAGGCGCGCGCCGATGACAGGAAGAAAAAGCCTCCGTTCTACGACGGTAAGTTCGAAACGCATTTTCTGCGCATATTCCTACCCGACTCCACCTTCCATCCCTTTTCTTTAGCCAATTTCTCTCTCTCTCTCTCTCTCTCTCTCTTTTACTATATTTCGACGCCAGTCCAGAGCTAGCGGCGCAGTTAATTAATATTTTACAGCTCCCGTCTATAGTATATAAGTATATATATAAACATATATACGCGCACATATACTGTAGACACCGTAGATAACTTGTGTAGATATCTAACGTAGGTCTAGATCTTAGATTGGCAGTCACTTCGACGCGGTACTGGTTTTATTAACAGGATATAGACACAACGCTCTCGCCCACGCAGCTGCTAAGTCGCGTGGGCATCGATTTAACGACGCAGTAAATTTGTACATCCTTTATATAAATCGGCAATCGCGTTCTCCCTTTTACTTTCTTTCTCTCTCTTTCCTACTCGCTAGTTCTTATATGTTAAGTTCTTATATTAGAAATAAAGCCGGCGTAATCTCGTTGAATTCGGTGTTATCAACATTCGGTGTTATCAATATTCAGAAACACTCGAGCATCGAGATTACGTCGATTCAATGTCTAGTTTATATTGATTCGTGGAGACCAACGTATATACTTCCCGATAACGTAATCTTCCCTGTCCTATCGCAAAATTTGTCCTCCCCCCTTCGGAAAAACCGGTTGACGGTTGCGGTCAATTCGTGCGCGTAGACTTCTTCGAGTCCTCGTTTGACGAAATTCCAACTAGCATACCGTAACAAAGTCCACACCGTGTCGATCATACACAGAGACATGCGGAGCGATACAAGATCATAATAGGATGAATTGCAATGATAGATTTGTTGGCCAATGATACGGAATGGATGACGGAGACGCCAGCAACGGCGGCTCCTCGTCGCTTCGGCCGCTACAAGAAAAAGAATGACGGTTATGACGAAAACAAAGATAGTAAGTTTTGCTGTGTTTGAGAAAGACCAAAAAAAACGATTAATCGGAAGTAACTGAGTGGAAAGCGAACTAAAACCAAAAAAAAAAGCAATGGCACACGCGAAACTGAATGCAGGACACGATCCATCTCGGTGTCGTCTCGTCTGCATCGTGCATTTGCCCAGTGTGTGTTGCCTGCTGAGACTGCTGCCTGACACGAAGAAGCCAAACCGAATAAAAAAAAAAAAGGAAAAAAAATATCTTGTGTTATCTTGAATCGATTTGTTCAATCTCGAACGACGTCCCGGCGTCCCGTTACCGCCGCAATATCGATAGAGCTGCCGGATTTAGCATTACTTATTGTTCGGATCATATGTGCTCGTATTTTCCTTTCACACAGCCTCTGCCCGTGTGCATCCCCGCGTCTCGCTGTACATATATATGTCTATATGTACATATATACGGTACATGAACGCACAGATATGTGAATGTACAAACGTGTGTGTTTCTCTGTACATTACTTACTATATATATTATACATATTACATGTAAGTTGGAACCCTGTTTTTATGCTAGTGGACACGTCGATGTTGTCTCGATTCATGATGTGCATTAACCGCACGATCATTTTGCTCTTTCGATCGAATTCTCCCATTCCACGATTAACCGTCCCACGCGCACCCCCACGTTTCTTCTTCCTCACCGGACGAATTTCCCCCTCGCTCCCTCTCCCTTCTTCTCATGTCCTTGCATGCAAATAACATTTGCGCGACATTTGTAATGCGTCTGCCTTTGGAACTATGCAAGCCGGACAAGCAAGGAGGACGCGTACCCTTCGAGCTGCATGCCGCATCTTTTCGCCCCCCTGCCCCCCCCCCCCCCC